AGTTTATTAAGACCCCCTTCCCTCTCGTTTATTAATTTTTACTTGTTATCAACAACAGCATATAAAAATAACCCCCCCCCCATTTTTTTATTAACCTCCATCCTCTCCTTCCATCCCGTTTATAAGATCTGGACTAAAATTCCCACCCACCCTCATATTCCCTCCCCCCTCACTTGTATTAAGGACTTGAGACTACATAACTTTATCAAATTTAAATATCAAGAAACAGCTACTCTTTAGTAATATCAAGAAAGAGCTACTCACTCATTTATCAGCTGATAAAAGAAAAAAACTTAAAAAACGCATTTCCAAATCTTGAGACAGTTTTGAGAATCTTTTTATGCTTTATTCTAACAAATTGTTCTGGTGAAAGAAGTTTTTCTTAAATTGATCAAAACTTTTTTGAGATATGAATCATCAAATATGAAGAAACTTTGAATAATGTATCTAGTTTATCTTGCAATGCGGATTTAAAATTTTTTGATACGTATTCTCTAATGCATAAATTTTGTCAAGAAAAAAAAAAGAAAATTTTTTTATAAGAAAATTTTTTTTTATTATACTCTTATGCTTAAATATTACTTATTTTCTAGTTTGTTTTGCATTTATAAAATTTACTTACATATATGTGTATTATACTCTCAGTATACTTATCACCGATGTTGTAAAATACCGATGTTGTAAAAGCGGTCTCTGATATTATTGAGAAACCTCTTTTTATAATTTTTAATCTTTCCCTAAGAAACAGCGTTTTTCCTGACCAACTAAAACTAGCAAAAATAATTCCAATATACAAAAGCGGCAATGATTCGATAAAATCTAACTATAGACCATACTTTCCTGTTTTTCTAAAATACTCGAGCGTCTTATGCACAACAGGCTGTACAATTATCTTGAAATTAATAACATTCTTTATCATAAACAGTTTGGTTTTCGCAAAAAACATTCCACGGAGCATGCAGTAATTGATCTTGCGATCCAAATTCTAAATGGTTTTGAAAACAATAGCTACACTCTCGGAATATTTCTAGATCTATCCAAAGCCTTTGATACTGTCAACCACAAGATTCTTATCAACAAACTATATAATTACGGAGTAGCTCACTCTAACTTAAAGTGGCTGCAATGTTATTTAGAAAATTGTAAACAAGTAGTACCATTTGATTTAACATGCTACCCATTTGAGTCAATAAGTTGGAGTTCCACAAGGATCAATACTTGGACCTTTACTGTTTTTAATTTATATTAATGATATTTATTTGTCATCAAAAATACTTAACTACATTATTTTTGCTGACGATACTAATGTTTTCTATTCTGATTCAAATTTAAAAAATATTTTTTGTAATGTAAACTCTGAACTAACATATCTCAATGAGTGGTTTATAGCAAATAAACTTTCGTTGAATATTGAAAAAACAAAATATATTTTGTTTGCTAAACCATCTAAATTCGAGAATCTTCCTCTTACACTACCAGAACTAACTATTAACAATATTAAAATAAAAAGAGTGTTTTCAATGAAAATACTTGGAATAATTTTTGACGAACATTTAAATTGGAAAAGCCAAATAAAGCTAGTCGAGAACAAAGTCTTAAAGACTTTAGGGATAATGTATAAGGCTAAACCTCTTTTGAATAAAATATGTTTAAAAAATTTATATTTTTCGTTTATACATAGTCATATTAACTATTGTAATATTGCCTGGGCAAACAATCACTCATCTTTCCTAAAAGCTATTTACACAAAACAAAAGCAAGCAAGTGGATTAGTTTCGGGCATGGATAAATACGAAAGTGCCGAGCCGTTACTCAAGGAAATAAATGCCCTAAATGTATACAAATTAAACATCTACAATAACTTGTTATTTATGTTTAAACTTCAAAACGAATTAATTCTAAAATATTTTTATAAAAACTTCTCTCTTATTAATCATAAATATAAAACAAGACTATCAATAAATAATTACTACATCCCACTAAAATAACTCAAAAAGTCTGACTTCTCAATGTGTATGTATATCTGCATGTGTATATATATATATATATATATATATATATATATATATATATATAGTATGTATATATATATATATATATATATGTGTGTGTGTATGTGTATATGTATACATGTATGTGTGTATATGTATGTATATACGTATGTATGTGTGTGTTGTATGTATGTATGTATATATGTATGTATGTGTGTGTATGTATGTATATATATGTGATGTATGTGTATATGTTTATATGTTTGTGTATGCATGTATATATGTATATGTATATGTATATGTGTATTTGTGTATAGGTATATATGTATATATGTGTATAAATATATATATATATATATTTATATATATATATATATATATATATATATATATATATATATATATATATATACATATATATATATATATATATATATATATATATATATATATATATATATATATATATGCGTGTGTGTGTATGTGTGTGTGTATGTATGTATGTGTGTGCATGTGTGTGTATGTGTATATGTATATGTATGTGTGTATATGTAAATATATACATATATCCTTCTTATATATATTCTTCTTGTTTCTTTTTGTTTGTCTGTTTTAATTTTGCTTAAAAAAAAATATGAGTAGATGAACTTAAATCTATAAAATGTTCGGAATCTTTTTTAATTCAAAATATCTTTTGTATATTTAAATATATATTATGAAGTTTATTGGATATGTATACGCATATGTACGGATTTCTAAATTTTTTTTTCAAACTTTTTTATTTTTTATTATTTTCAAACTTTTTAGTTTTGTCAAACTTGAAAATTACTTTTTCAACTTTTTGATTTTTCCAAACATTTTAATTTGTTTTTTTTAAAACTTTTTTTAATTTCACTCTTTTATATATTATTGGAAATTGTAAATTTTTTTTTTTTTTTAATTTTTACGAAGGGGCTTGATGATAAGACATTTTGTCTTCTACTTGCCTCAGTCAGCTTGCATTCGTATAAATTTATTTGAATGTAAGGTTAACATTGTAAAATGTGTCAAATGACGAAAAATAAAAAAAAATAAAAAATTATGCAATATTTTTTTTATGTAGTAAAATGAAAAATTGACACAAGAAAATTCTGATATTTTTGAAAAAGCGCACCAAAAAGCAATTCAGTCTAGAGCCCTAAAAGGTGTAAATTCGGCCCTGCAGATAAATACAGTTATGTTCCTTGTAGTTTTTAAGAGGAATCTTTGAAAAAATCACAAAATTCACTATGGTAATTCTCACCTAATATGGCAAAACAGGGATAACGACTTTCAGGGAAGAAAAATCCTATAATAGATATTTTCCCAAAAAATCCCAAAAAAAAGTTCAAATAGTTGACCTGTAACAAATGTACTCTATTTTGAAAATTTGCGTAGTTTTTAAGGAAATTCTACCTGTATTAAAAATTTTGGCCTAGTGTTCTTTTCGAAATGACTTTGTAAATAAGCCGCCGGTTCTTCAGAGAACCATTAGAGAATATTAAGAACCCGTAGGTTCTTTAAAGAACCTTGAATTTCTCCAAGAACTTTTAGGTTCTTCAAACTACCGGCAAGAAACCGCGAAGCTCCTTTTGGATTTACAGTGTATGAGAATCAAACTCTGTGTTTATATTGAGCTATATGTTTATTTCGAACTCTATATTTATATCGAACTACATTTTTATATCGATAAATGTTTAGAATTTTTTCCGAATAAATTTCATGTCTCGTTTTTTATTACTATTCTATAAAACTTGTGTTCGTTAGCGGTGTAGTAGTAAAAATCTCATAATAAATTTTTATTGTCATTGTGAAATTTTTACTCCCAAATAAAATTTATTTTGCGGCAAAGTGTGCAAACTGTTTTATTGGAACCAAGATGTAATTTCTGAATACTTTTAAACGTTTTAAAAATTCATTTAATGTGAAGATTGTTCAAAATTCTTTTAATGTTTCAATTAGTTGCAGAAAAATTTGGAGTTGTTAAGAAATAAAATGTCTTGGTAGGACGTTTCAACACATTGGCAATTCTATTGAATTAAACTATACGGAAATTGATTTTTCATGACAAATTTTTTTTTATTAAACTGAAAATGAATATGAATACAATCTAATTAGAAATAAATGGTATATTACAATTAAGATGCAAATTTGTGAAAATAAAACGTTGGAAGATGCGACATTATGTGGAGCAAAAGGAAAATTAATTTTTCAAAATAAAACATCAAATTTAAATTGTGAAATAACTACACCATCTAACATAAATTTACTACTTTTTTCAATTGTTAATCGCGTTTTCAAAGTTTATCTGAGTTGAAATGTCTAAAAATATAGAACAGTCATTCAATATAATAAGGCTTAACAGCAAGGATTCATTTTGATATTGCTCTCAATAGCTTATATTGAACAACTCGCTTTTTTAGACCTGTCAAAAAAGTCAAAAAACTTATTGCAGGTTTACAACAAATCGCATGGAGCTTGAAATTGGTACAGACGTTGGAAACATTTCCTCTTGTCATTTCTTTAGTCATTATTTTGTTCGTCATCATCAGTCTAAAATTTTTCAACAAATCAACAACAAGTAAAATGAGTACCGTGAGGACAGAGGCGATTCTAAGAATAAAATGAGAGGGATGGGGGTGAATACTTAAAAAGTATCGAATGGTTCCTAATAACAAAATAAAAAAACTTCCAAGTTTTCAAAAAATGGTAATTTAGTGACAAAATATTTTTCTTTGATGTCCATTTATCAAAAGATTTAAAACGAGTTTTTTTCAACTTTTTAAATTCATTAATTTTTTTTAACCAAATAAAAAAAGTTTTTAAATGAAAATTGCTTTTATTACTTTTTAAAATGAAAAAACCGCCAAAAATTTACCGCCAAAAACTTACCGCCAATGAATCAACTCAATAAAGATTAACAACTCAAGCGAAGGAACGAGTACTTGTACGGGTCGAGTTGTTATTCTTGTATAAGAATAAATTGTGAACAAAAAGTAAATAAAGAAAAAAGATATTAACCTTTCAATAATTATTTGTTTGATAACAGCCGATTTGTTGTTTGATAACAGCCTATGTTTACTGTTCAAACACTATTTCAAGTTCATATTGGTATGTGTCATATTGGTATGAGTCATATTGGTATGTGTCATATTAGTATGTGTCTATTTAAAAATGCAATTTTTATTTAATTTTCTAATTTATAGCATAAAATATAAAAATTACAAAAAATATCATGGCAACATTAACATAATAATTAACAATAAATTTTATATCAACCTATAATTCTTATCTTGTCTGTGTTGAATACAAATGTTTTTTCCATAAACTGTTGACTAATGGTCAACAAAGTAAATTCTATTCATGAAAATTTACTAAACTAAAACCATATTTTAACAGAAAAAACAATAAAATAACGTAGAAATATTAAGATGGTATGTTGTTTTACAGAGAAAATTAGAAGAATTATAAGATTCGAGGAAAAAGGTTCCTTATTCTTTTTATAACTTATTAACTACTCTTTACTCGTAACTTTATTTTAATCTTTTTTTTTAAATCAAACTAAATAACTAAATTTTAAATTTTATTTTAAATATTAAGTTTTTTTCAAAAAATTTAAATCATTTTTAAGAAACTGGACAAAATTACCAAATGCTTCTATTAAATTCAAAGCATTTAATATTAGACTCAGTTTATAAAAACATTTAATATTCAAACTTTTATCAAAATATTTATTAACTTTGACTTTAATATTTTTACTTTTTCAAAATAATATTTTGCCATCATGCCAATTGACCGTGATAATAAATACGAGCTATCAAAATTTCTTTGGCTCTTGCTATCTTTAATTCCTTTTTATTAAGTATCTAAACGTATAATATATATATATATATATATATATATATATATATATATATATATATATATATATATATATATATATATATATATATATATATATATATATATATATATATATATATATATATATATATATATATATAAAAAATAGAATTTTTAAAGAGCTAACAACATCTTTATTTAAAATCTTTTTTCAAATCATCTACCAAATCTTTATTTCAATATTATGTTATTCTTTGTGGATGGAGTAAAGAGCCGCATCAACCACAGATTGCTGACCCCTGGTATAAACGTTTAAATAATATATTGTAGACCAAGTATTTATATAATATTTTGTTTGTTTGCATAGCAGACTAACAAAAAACAACTTTAAAAAGTAATTGTATTACAAGTATACATCTCGCGTGTGCCCAGTGGGCACGGAAGTAAAAAAGACGTCTTTTAAACGTCTTATACACGTTTTGGACGTCTTTTGAACGTCTTTTGAACGTTTTGGACGTCTTTTGAACGTTTAAAAAACGTCTTTTTTAGGTCCAGTGCCCACTGGGTGCTTATTTAGTTCTGTACGTGTCGGGTCATTTTAAAGCCTAACACCGTATTTTTAAAAGTATAAGTAATTTTCTAAACTAATTGAACGCATTATGTACAACAGACTTTATAAATATCTATCTGAAAATAAGATTTTATATAATAATCAATACGGTTTAAAAAAAAATCATTTACTGACCATGCAATAATTGAATTGGTTAAGCATATAACAAATGGATTTAAGAGGGATAGCTATACAATAGGGTTTTTTATTGATTTATCTAAAGCTTTCGACACAGTAAATCATGAAATTCTTTTGAAAAAATTAGAAAACTATGGAGTTAAAAATCAAAGTTTACTTTGGTTTAAGTCATACTTAACTAACAAAAAGCAAATTATACTTAAATAATCAAAAGACTTAACTTAATAACTTGTGAATCAAAAAAACAACATAATAAGTTGTGGAGTACCCCAAGGTTCTATTTTGGGACCATTATTGTTCTTACTTTATATAAATGATTTATATTTATCATCAAAAGTATTAAATACTATCTTATTTGCAGATTACACTAATTTGTTTTATTCTCACAAAGATATTACTGTTCTTTTTAAAATATTTAACGAAAAATTAGATGAGATCAACGAGTGGTTTATAAGTAACCGACTATCATTAAATGTAGAGAAAACAAAATTTATCCTATTCCATAAACCTAGTAAAGCCGAGAATACTCCTTTTAAACTACCCAATCTTTTAATCAATAATAAAATAATTAAAAGGGAGTTGACTACAAACTTTCTGAGAGTGCTCTTAGATGAAAAATTGTCATAGAAATTTCATATTAAATATATTGAAGGTAAGATCTCAAAAAATATTGCCATGTTATACCAAACAAAACCTTTCCTTAATAACGAGTCTTTAAAAAAATTATATTTTTCTTTTATACACAACTATCTTTCATACTGTAACATTACCCGGGGTAGCACTAATCACACTAAACTCAAAAAAATTTATAGTAAACATAAACATGCTTGCAGGATAGTATTTGGGGCAAATAGAAAAACAAAATGCGAACCTCTCTTACGCCAGCTTTAAATATTTATAAGCCTAATATTCATCAAGCAATGTTATTTATGTTTAAAGCAAAACTAGGGTTTTCCCATTAACATTTCAATCCTACTTTAATGAAATCTCCCATAAGTATCCAACCAAATTTTCAATGAATAACTTTGTGGTTCCCATAAACCTTCTTGAATTAAGTTCGTACCAAATTCAATATCGGGTACCTTTAGTTTTGAAAAAATTTCTTCCAATCTTTAGTAAAAAGCAAAACTTCGTTTTAAACTGCACTTTGCAAAGTTTTAAGGATGATTCAAAACGGCATTTACTGAACATGGGATTCGATATATTAGATTTCAAATACCTTTTTTGAAAACAGTTTAAAGGTTTAAACTAAATCACTTAAAAATAAATTAAATCTTTATCACTTTCTTTAGCTTTTATTAAAGTGGTTTCAAACCATTAATATAAAGAATAACGAAAATAAAATTGTCTTTTTCGTTCATATTTTTGATGGTATTAAATAATCAGCCCAAATACTTATGTTTACATATATTGCTTTTTTTTTAATTAAACAACGCATTTTTTGTGTGTTTTTATAACTTTCATGATTTTCTGTCGTTTTTACTTTTTTATTTTTAAAATTATTCTGCTGAAAGATTGTTAGCAACAAGTTATTTTATTGCTAAAGTTTTTGATTTGTTTTTTGTTTTTGTATATATATTGTCTTTTTGTCTTTTATCATGTAAATTTTTGTGTGACGGGGCTCGGTGATAAGACAACCTGTTTTCTTCTTGCTCCGGCCAGGATTTTCTTTTATTGTAATTCCTTTTTTGTAATATTTATCAACGGCAAAATAAATAAATAAATGATAAAATAAAAAAAAATAAAAAAAATTAATTATAAATAGCTTTATCAAAATACTGAAGGTTTAGCAAGTATGTAACACACGAATGCAAACGCTGCCTAGTTTTCCTTTTTTTATGTAACTAAATTTATTAAAAAAAGTAATTTTGTTGACGTCAACTTGTCTTGACCTTCTTCCCTCTCCTGTCAACAAATGCCAAAACCCACCCTCCCCCCTATTTTGCTGAAGTAATTTATGGACAGCCCATAAATCAAAATTAATAATCTTCTTTAAAAATCTCTCAGACGAATTTTATCAAATTGCCATTACTCAGGGTTTTTTTTGTACTTTTCTTTATAATTTTTCAATATAAAATTTAATTAATTAAGATTGACTGCTCAGTAGTTGTAGAAGAAGTTTGTATATGCGCATCAAAAAACTTGGATGACTGTATCATTCTTGCAAGATAGTTTAGCAAAATTTAGCTATATTTCTTGAACAGAAAATAAGAAAGTATTATGGATTTGGAAAAAAGATACAAAAATGGAATAATTGACCATTAAGTTTTTAATCAGGTTTTTGCAATTTATAAAACAATTACAAATAACTTAAACTTAAGCATCAGCGTGACACTTATTGCAATCGGCTTTGGAAATTCCGTCCATTACAAAAATTCTTTGCGATAATATACTTAAATTTCCAAACCATTGTGAAATCAAGGTTTAGGTAATTTAGAAAATTGTTGAAAAATTTAAAAATATAAAATACAGTTAGAACAAGTCACAGAAACAACTGAGACAGAGCGGGTTAGCAAATAGACAACTGAAAGCTTTAAATTAGGTGTCCAAGAGATATTATATCTTAGCTTGTTTGAAATTACAAGGCAGCCCATTTACTTCCAAATCAGATGTCAATAAATATGTTGAAAAACAGAAAATGTTAAATGCAATTGATGAATGGGATGTTTATTTTAGTAATAATCAAAATATAGTTAGTCATTGCAGTAAAGATCTGCTATATTTAAAGTCATAATTATTGAAAAAATACATAAAAACTTCGTCTTATGTCTACAGAAGAATAAGCTAATATTTTAAAGTTTCTATTTAAGTAGGAAAGTCCTTACAACAATCCATAATCACCTACAAAGACTTTTTTTTTAGTTATTAATTTGTTCCATATAGAAGTAAGCGTGTTATCACAAAACATGAAGAAGTAAGCGTCTCATCACGTGTTATCACAAAACATCGTTGAAGAGCAATTTAACTAGAAAGCTTACCTTCCTTACCAATGTTGCTTATATTGTCAGAGTGAACATCGAACCTCAGACTTCTTGATTCTGAGAAAAAACTCAAATCATTTCTCCATAGTTGCAAAAAAATTATTTTGTATTTATACTAGCAATTGTTGCAAATCGTTTGTTATATGGAGTAATTTGCCTAATTTTTTGTTGTATTTATAACTACACAAAATGATTACGTATTTTATTGATAAAACAAAAAAAAATATTTGCCATTGATTTTACTTTGATAATAATAATGATTTTATTTAATTTAACAATTGATTGTTTTGTCAAATAAACTTTTATTATTGAAGTAGAAGGTCAAATATTTATAATTAAAAAAAAAATATTTAGTAACTTGAAATCAGCATAAAAAATTAATAAGGAAAAAGTGGTTAAACTACACAAAATTCAAAAAAAGTTAATTTTGGACCCCCTTTTATACACATATAGAAATTGAAAAACAGAATCACAAAATTAAATAGAGAAAAAATTATCTACTAACATTCATGTACAATAAATCAAATTTTAAAGATAAATAATTTTACCAAAATATGATTTTATGTATT